TGACGACGGGCCTGGTCTAAAAGAGTCGCTGGTGTAGTCGTGTGACTACACGGACCGACTCGAGAACGATGATGGGCGTATACGAAACGAAGAGTCGCTGGTGTAGTCGATTCAATGCACGGACTGGCAAGTGAACGATCCAGACAGCTAAGGAGCGTGGTGTGTGCTACTGCGGTTGCTAGTAGACTGTTGCTTGTTTTTGTACCAAGCAACTCAATTTATAGAGTTCAACCAAAATGGGGTAGGGGTGGTATCGCCACCCTCACCTCTTTTACCGAAGACACTTTGATGATAATAATAATAATAAGGTTCTAGGACCTTGCGCGAACAGAAGATATATTAAAGACTAACGCTTGTTTTCGACTCGCACTACTATTCATGATTGAACAAAACTTTTGGCAGGTACTGTATGAAAAAGTAAGTTTAATAAACAGGAGTCGAGAGTATAATGAACTTTTTTCTCCCTACCTACGATTTTGCCAGCGCGCATCCAAGACATTGGAAGGGGCACATCGCTAGAGAAATTAAATGAAATGTAACTCTTTGCTGAATCCAACGTTTTAGTTTTTTTTGTATACGACATGTAGATATATACATACATATGTTAGATATAAGTATTTCGTATATTATTTGGTAGATAAGTATTTCAACAATATTAACATTTGTCTAGATAGACTTTCCCACAGTATTTATGTAAACAGCCATAGTTCACTGATAGTGACTAGGCTTTATCAAAAGCATAAGGTATAAATATTGGTACAGGGACATTCATCCCTTAGATGTGTTTCTACTTGTGAGTAATAAACGTATTATCTTTAATTTTGTTGTTTAATTCAGAAGTTGATATTATTAACTTAAATAAGTTGAATTACAACTGAATGATAGAACACTCTCCAAGACGATAGTTGCATTTAAAAGTGATTAGTAACATCTACAGCTTGCAACGTATCGACCAATCTGCCCGTGACTATCTGTACGATATTTACCACGATTAGTTCGGCAATCTAAATTTATGTTATCTCTAACATAATAAAATCAGGATATAACATANTCGCCCAATTATTGAGGTCTCTTTTTTTGGCGTACTTTTTCAGTGGAAATTTAAAATAAATATATGTGTAGAACTAATATACTAATAATTAACAAGGTAATTATCCTTATTTTTCATTAAAATTTTCGCGTACACATGTACCCATAAAGCAGGTTAAATTATATTTCATTGTTTTAATCTCTAATTAATACTTATTTATGGAATTTTATGTTTTCATTGGATCTCCATTCATTTGTGCACCTATATGTACAACAATATCTAACCACTTCAACTAATTACTTTAAAAAACTAAAAAAATTAACAACACAGTCTAAATAACACCTCTATTTACGTTAGTACGACGCAGACAGATAACCACCCCACAGCGTCTGAGCTTGTCTAACACTTGGAATCAACTTTTTCAACTGCTTCCCATAAGCGCGCTCATTCCAGTGTTCCCCTCCACTTCAACGGTGCCTACACGTTGATGTAGCAGAAACATATGTACTATACAATACTATGTACGTTACCAAATCGGTGACGTTTTAGAACTTTCCATCTAGTAACTACATACTGACTCCATTCTATTTAACGACAAGAACTGTAAATAATAAATATACATAATTTCAATTTAGAAAACAACATAAGCAATATTGTAAACAGTGCGTGTTTTCGGTAGATTTTTGGTATTGCACAATATGGCGCGATGAAATAACAAGCAAGAAAACACTAACACAGAATTGGTCTTTAAAACTTTACAAACTACAACCACAGGAACAAGACAACCACAAAAACAATAACAACAACAATAACGATTATAACAATATATTGTAAACTTACGAAATAGCTGAAAGAAAAGAACTAGATGACTCTGAAGAACTAACTGATTTTTGACATTTTTGTTGTTTATTTTAGCCTCGAGGAGGGGAAATCTTCTAAAGACACCCCTAGGGGAGGTAGTGTCGGATTCACTCCCGGAGAGAGCGCCTACCGACTAAAAACCCTTATGGGTTTGCTTGATAGCTATCGGTGAAGCGAACCTTCCTGCCTGACCAGGGAAGTCTACATTTTCTGGGCTGGGGTACAAACTTCCAGCGGTACCAACACATATCATTTTCGGGATGATCTCGATGTCTGGAATGTGAACGGGATCTCGGCCTTCTATTTGTTGGCGTAATGCGGTTATTTGCTCCGTCACTTGTTGTTGGATAGCCAGTTGAAGTTGCGCAGGTCGAATTTCCAAATTCGTATCGTTTGAAGATGTCTCTGCTACCTGGGGCCTATATGACCTTGTTGCTTCCACTATGGTGTCTGCCATGTCAGCCAGTTGATCTAATGTACTGTCTGATTTTGTCACTAGGTGTGGTTGGAGATGCGGTGGTAATCGACTTAACCAGATTGTAGGTAAAACAGCGTCTCCTACTATACTTCCGGCTAACGAACGCAGGTGTCGGAGGAACTGCCACAGTTTTCGGTCACCAATACTTTCGTGCTCTAGGAGATTCCTGGTCTTCTGTTCTTGCGATTGGGAAAGTCTCTTGATGAGTTCGCTTTTCAGTACTTCGTAAGAATTTTCTGCGGACGGATTCATGACAACATCCCGGACTTCTGCCAAGTACTTGGATCCAAGTGCGCCTAGAATGTGGCTAAATTTCACCTCGTCTTGCGTAATACCTGATGTACGGAGAGTTCTTTCGAATACGGCGAAAAAATACTCGAGGTCGTTGGGAGTAAACTCAGGTAACCTCAGGACGGCTCGCTCAGTTGTGGACGGAACCATTCTTGGTACTTGAATTTCTGGCGGAAACCTATTTTGCGCTGTTTGCTGTTGCCATTCTTGCATACGACGCTCGAATTCTTGCCGTTCTTGGTCAAGTTTTTGGCGCTGTTCTTCTATAAGCAGTTTTGGGCTTCTATTTGCTGCACCAATTCGTTGTCGGCACAATAACAACAACAATAACGAATATAACAATATATGGTAAACTTACGAAATAGCTGAGAGAAAAGAACTAGATGACTCTGAAGAACTAACTGATTTTTGACATCGAAAATAAGGATATTTATAGTTAATAATTGTTGAAGATAGACAAGGAGAAGGGTAGTTTAGAAAGAAGACAGAAGGTACAAGTACTGACGGTAAAAGTTCTCAGAAGTAAATAGAATGAAATGTTATTGCGGGAGAAACCAGATTGTCAGTAATTATAAGACAGGGTACATGCAGGTATAAGGGTTACAGGTAATGAAGCATGCTGAAGAGTTTGAAATTAAAGTTGAAAGTAAAGATTTAGAAATAAAATAAATTTTAGAAAATAAAATTCAAATATTCAGAATTTGTACAGATCGCTACAGAAAATACTACAAACGGAGCAGTAAACGCCATCTGTAGCACGATGCTGCATTTTAGGATTACATATGCACTGTTAAGACAGCAGGTAAAAGTTGGTCTGTGTTCTGTCGGAACTGCCTGCGACGCGCTGATGAGATCCAAAAAGATCGAAATCGCGATCTGTGTCTGGCAGTTTGACCACATCAAATTATTTTAATATTGTAAACGATTGTAACAAATGCTGATAACCGAACGCAACCCCGCCTATCGTATAATACGTAAGTACACATTACGAGAATCGAGATTGGTAGGCAGGTAGGTACCTGGTGCGAAGTAGGCGCGTAGAAGCTATAGATCCACTGGATCCGCTGAAAAGTAACAACACTTGACATTAGTAAAACCATAGACATATATTAATGGACGTGCATTAGCGGTCAGAATTGTGGTACAACAAAAGAAAGAGATGGAACGAACGGACAATATCCATCTCTCTCACTATAATGCGTAAGCGTGTCATGAAAGAGATAGCACTAGTCCGAAACCATATGCCATCTCCCTCACTTTTCGAGCCAAGAAATTATTACGACATACGGCTAAGGTACGTCCATTAATATATGTCTATGAGTAAAACCTACTAAACCATTGGTTATTTATGTTCTATGTCATTAGATGTGTCAATAGCATTGAAGTGGAGGGGAACACTGGAATGAGCGCGCTTATGGGAAGCTGTTCAAAAAGTTGATCCCAAGTGTTAGACAAGGTCAGACGCTGTGGCGTGGTTATCTGTCTGCGTCATACTAACGTAAATAGAGGTGTTATTTAGACTGTGTTGTTAATTTTTTTAGTTTTTTAAAGTAATTAGTTGAAATGGTTAAATATTGTTGTACATATAGGTGCACAAATGAATGGAGATCCAATGAAAACATAAAATTCCATAAATAAGTATTAATTAGAGATTAAAACAATGAAATATAATTTAACCTGCATTATGGGTACATGTGTACGCGAAAATTTTAATGAAAAATAAGGATAATTACCTTGTTAATCATTTGCATATTAGTTCTACTCATATATTTATTTTAAATTTCCATTGAAAAAGTACGCCAAAAAAAAAAGAGACCTCAATAATTGGGCGATAAATGTAACATTAGACATAGCTCACATAAAAAAATATTATTTTATCATGTTTAATTTATTAAAATATTTTATTAACTTAATTAGAATACTTTAATTTAATTAGAATAATTTAGTTAATTAAAATTAGAACTTTTTCGGATTAATTGTATTGTTTTGTTTGTACTAGGTCACAATAAAAATTATTTCTAATGAATTTATTGCTTTTTAACAAATTTTAAAACACCCCAATAATTTGTTAATAATTTCTGCGATAAAGATACCGCACGGCAATGTAAAATCATACACGGGTATCGCACACCTGCCTCATTTTCACCTGACTTCCGATATTGACTCATAAGCGCCTGTGTGTGAAAGAGAGATGGTATCCCACTCCGCAGCAGCGGAGCTATTCGCACACTTGCGCTCACAAATTTAACATAGCGTACGCGTTCCAGTATCTGTAGTCTAGTTCAATGGTTTTCTCTCATTCTGAAATCCACGTCCTTTTTGTGTGTCTATGGTTTTGAACCATATGACTCCGTTGAACTAAACGTTTATGACGATGACAGCGATGTATTATAACCTAAGTTCTGATAAATTTTAAAAAATACAATTATTAATAAACATTGGACATAAAATGGTTGTAGACGAAACATATATTGTCATTTAATAAAATGGATGGATTACATTCATTTGAGAATGATAAATCTTCATTTTGGAAAAAGAACAGTAAAGCTGTCCCTGGAAGGTACAACATATTTTTGTGAAGCATATAGCGTGTTAGTGTATATATTTTACTTAATTTTAGACCTAGTCCCAAAAAAGAAGTTCAACGAATTAGTAGAACAAAAACTGTAGGGCCTGCCTCATATCACGAATTTCAAGCTTCTATAAGTGATGCCTGGGCTGTAGAGGATGATGATTTTTGTTTGACGTCAGGTGTTGACAGTAAGAATTATCTGTAGAAATTCGGTGTAACGACTATTTTTTGAAAATTTAAGGTACCAAAATATCCAAAAAAGTATCCCAGTCGGCTGCATTAAATGTATTAAATGTCCATCGCACTTTCGAGGCTCCAGTTCATCATTGTGAAAATGTAAACCTATCAGTACAAGAAAAAAATGTTACTCATGTTAAAAATAAATTTCCTGGACGTCCTAGACCTCTGCCTTCCTCCACAAATACTCTTGATAAAAACACAGAGTCAAAATTAGAACGTTTCGAAACTCTTTTAGCAAACACTCCTACTATAGACGAACTTGCTCAATTGAGTTGGTCAGGTGTTCCTCAAAAAGTTAGACCTATAATTTGGAGATTACTGGCAGGTATCATACATTTTGTTTGAAAGTATCAAGGTAAGAATGAAGTTCATTTAATAATTTTTGTAGGATATTTACCTATAAACCAAGAACGCAGACAAACTATACTGGAGAGAAAAAGGCAAGATTATTGGAACTTGGTGCAACAATATTATGATACTGAACGTGATGAGGCTAGTCAAGACACATACCATCAAATTCACATTGATGTGCCTCGAATGAACCCATCTGTTGCTTTATTTCAACAGGAAACTGTGCAGAAAATGTTTGAGAGAATTTTATTTATTTGGGCTATTCGTCATCCTGCATCAGGCTATGTCCAAGGCATAAATGATCTTGTTACACCCTTTTTTGTTGTGTTTTTACAGGAATTTATTCCTAATAATGAACCATTTGAAACCTTCTCTCTAAATACTCTTCATCAAGATAAACTGGACATTATTGAGGCTGATTCTTTTTGGTGTCTTTCAAAATTTTTAGATGCTATTCAGGATAATTATGTTTTTGCTCAGTTGGGTATTCAACAAAAAGTTAATCAACTCAAAGAACTAATACAAAGAGTGGATAATAATCTTCATTGTCATCTAATGCAGCATAACATTGATTATTTGCAATTTTCTTTTCGTTGGTTAAACAACTTATTAACAAGAGAATTACCTTTGCGTTGTACGATAAGGCTTTGGGACACGTACCTCGCAGAAGGGGATTCTTTTGCCTCATTTCAGCTTTATGTTTGCGCCGCATTTTTACTGTATTGGCGTGACATGCTGCTTTTAGAGACTGATTTCCAAGGACTTATGCTGTTGCTGCAAAATTTGCCAACTCAGGATTGGAGATCATCAAATATAGATATGGTGGTTGCAGAAGCGTATCGCTTAAAAGTCATGTTCGCAGATGCTCCAAATCATTTACAAAATAACAGAAATCCGAGATGATCTTATTCAAATCTAGCTGATACAAATTTTTTGTATATTTCTTGAAATTACTGATAAATTAATTGATGTTTTGTTAGTCAAAATATTTTTGTATCTTTTAGATTTATAATTTCGCGTGATTTTGATAAATATATACTAGATAGTTGTTAACTGTTCATTTTGTTCTTCTTTGAGTTACTATTGAAAACATATAAAAAAAATTTTATAATAATGCCACTGCCAAATACTGATAGTAATTTAATTTGTGAGTAAGTACAGTCAATTTATCAGGCATAGTTTTGTAATACATACACACTTCATTAATGCTCTCAAGTAGATTTAACTAAAGTATGACAAATTCTCAACTCTTCTGAAACAAATAAGTAACAACAATTCTTGCAATAATTTTGACTCAATCTTTTTTTTTTTTAACTTTATTATTAGCAAGAACTTCTCCTGGGGCTGGGTATGGTCTTTGCTGATAAAGAGCACCTGAGGCTGTACTATCTGCTCCTGACCTGTTAGTTTCTAAGCCATCACTCCAAGTACCAACAGGACACTCAGAGTAAGCAGCAGGATCCATTGGATCTAAGTTTTCCTCCTTTCTATTCTTTCTCTTTCGTTCTTTTTCTTCATATTTTTCTTTTCTGTTCTTTTCTGTATCACGATCTCTGTCCTTGTCACGGTCTTTATCTCTATCCTTCCTATCTGTACGATCTTTTTCTTTTTTATCCTTCTTTTTTTCTTCATCTTTATCACAATCAGCTTTATATAGGAGACTTGCATCAATTATGTTTCCACTCTGCAGTTTTTCTCTTAAGCCAGCAGCACTTTCTGTTGGTTTTGCTTTTGGATGTTTTGGTGGAAGCCAAGATACTAAATCTGTTTCTAAGTCCCAGTAATAGTATCTACCCCTGCAAAATTACTTTTAAAATAAAAAAAATGTGCATCTAAAAATAAATTCTCATACAATCCTTTATCAAAAACATCCATCCAGTTTTGAGGAAGGGGATACTTTTGTGTTAATTTTGATATGTTTCTCAAATATTTTGGATCTGGAGTGGTCACTCCTTTCCAGTGCACTTCACACCAATGTGTACAATCATGATAAATGTTACTTTTATTAGGACAGCCAGATACTCCTTTGAACTCTTTTTTCTTCTTTTCAGACCCCTTTGAATTAGTAACTGGAATGAAAGTATTAACAAACTATACAGAACGATTACCACTGAAAACCAACCACTTAGCAATCCTCTTTTAGATAATTTTGCAGCTAAAACAGGCGGTAAAGGCATTTTACTAAATTCCTTTTATATTTGCAATCAGTAAATAATGCAACTACCACACGAATTAAGTTAATTAACCGTTAACCAAATATTTATTATAATTGTAATTTATATACTTTTTAATTATTCAGAACATAAGGAGAGTTTTGAATGGAATTAAAGTAAACTGTTTTATATTTCTAATATCTTATCATTTCTACTTTTCTTCTAGTAGGTTATACGCCATAGATAATAGATACACAAAGGGTTATACCATAGATTATATTCCAGTGACTATTGACCATTGAACTAGACTACAGATACTGGAACGCGTACGCTATGTTAAATTTGTGAGCGCAAGTGTGCGAATAGCTCCGCTGCTGCGGAGTGGGATACCATCTCTCTTTCACACACAGGCGCTTATGAGTCAATATCGGAAGTCAGGTGAAAATGAGGCAGGTGTGCGATACCCGTGTATGATTTTACATTGCCGTGCGGTATCTTTATCGCAGAAATTATTAACAAATTATTGGCGTATTTTAAAATTTGTTAAAAAGCAATAAATTCATTAGAAATAATTTTTATTGTGACCTAGTACAAACAAAACAATACAATTAATCCGAAAAATTTCTTATTTTAATTAACTAAATTATTCTAATTAAATTAAAGTATTGTAATTAAGTTAATAAAATATTTTAATAAATTAAACATGATAAAATAATATTTTTTTATGTGAGCTATGTCTAATGTTACATTTATCGCCCAATTATTGAGGTCTCTTTTTTTGGCGTACTTTTTCAGTGGAAATTTAAAATAAATATATGTGTAGAACTAATATACTAATAATTAACAAGGTAATTATCCTTATTTTCCATTAAAATTTTCGCGTACACATGTACGCATAATGCAGGTTAAATTATATTTCATTGTTTTAATCTCTAATTAATACTTATTTATGGAATTTTATGTTTTCATTGGATCTCCATTCATTTGTGCACCTATATGTACAACAATATTTAACCATTTCAACTAATTACTTTAAAAAACTAAAAAAATTAACAACACAGTCTAAATAACACCTCTATTTACGTTAGTATGACACAGACAGATAACCACGCCACAGCGTCTGACCTTGTCTAACACTTGGGATCAACTTTTTGAACAGCTTCCCATAAGCGCGCTCATTCCAGTGTTCCCCTCCACTTCAATGGAGAAAACTAGCTACCGCAGCGATGGATGCATCTACTGTTATCTATGATCTACTGTCTCCATCAGCAGATAATGAAACCTAGACTCATAGATAATAGATATACAAAGCTTCCCATAAGCGCGCTCATTCCCCTAGACTAGGTAAATAGATGTAAAACTCTCGAGATTTGGACGATAGTAGTGACATCTAAGTTTACCCCACATTAGTAGACGACACTTGGAATGTATATATAAATGTTATTGGCAAAGAAAACTTCGAATTTCACTGCCATCTATACATCAAACTACGAAGCGTAACCAAAGGCGCGCATTTCAAAATTACACCAAATTATATTTTTTTTTGTTTTAAATGGAAATTGAAAAAAAAAACAAAAATAAAATTAACAAATTTAATAACAAAGTATAAATGCAGTAATAAATATAATTAATACAATATACGAGTAAATAGCAAACATCAATTAATTAAAATATAGATACTAATACAGGTATATTTGTATGAACAAAGAAATTGTTCTTTACCTAATTTAGTACTGCTTCCTGCTTCTACAGCGGGTGCTAACGTTTCAGAAACTGTAGAAATACTAGCTTCTGTATTGTCCATTGTGAGGGTACTTTCTATAACAAATAATTATATATGTTTTGGATATTTGAAACTGTTATCTGCATACCTGCAGTTGAAACATTTTTTTAGAACTTAAGTTTTACAACAACAAACTACAATACCTGCCACATTCGTTGGAACCGCTGTTACTTCAGGAAAATGGAAAGCGGCATCTTGACCTTTGACTCCTACAGGAACTGTATAATCTAAGTAGAACATTTCAAATTAATTTGACCCCATAATGGTGCAGACTGTACTGTCATGGACAGAAAAGATTTTCCTTTCTAACCAGCACTATTTCAGAAAATAATTACCTATTGTAAAGCATGATTTTAGTACATAATACATTACTTACTTTTAGGATAGGTAAAAGTACTTTTCACAAAAATTTTAAAATATTACAAGTTGTGAAACTACTCACTATTGCTCCAGTATACGCTATAAACATAGATAATAGATATACAAAGGGTAATAGATGGCTCACTCGAAACGCGCTGATTTGCGCGCCCTCCAGCAGGTTTAGTCAATACTAAATAAAAAAGGCGCGCACTTTAAATGTGTTAGTTACTGATTGTTTTTCGTAATGTGTAAATTAAACTGAAAAATGGATAAGAAACAATGCAATTTTCCTTTTCTATAAAAGAAAACATTGTTTCTTTTGTAAAAAAGGAAATACATTGTTTTATTTGTTCATTTTTCACCTTAACATAAGAATTTTTAAGTGTAAAAGTTATAAGTGAAATAGTAAAACATATTTATTAAATCTAACAAATACACTTGTATAAAATAAANTTATGTAATTTGAACAAACAATCGGCCAAATAGAAAAGGTCACAAGACAGAAAAAACAGTAATATAGTTTAACTTAATAGTAACACTTTAAACTTTTAACAATTTTCAGTAGTAAGAAGAACTATGCATAAAAATTGAACGTTAGTCAAACTTTTTGGAAACATTTACTTGAAATTGTGGCGAGACAACTTAAAGAGAGGCTCGAAGGGGGGCGGCGATCATCAGTGGCTGTAAAATCTGTAAAAATAATGAAAATTATACTTAGAAATGTACCGCACGGATAAGTTCAAGAAAAGGTATGCATAAAATTGAATGTTAGTCAAACTTTTTGGAATTATTTACCTGAAATTGTGGCAAGACAACTTAAAGAGAGGCTCGTAGGGGGGCGGCGATCATCAGTGGCTGTAAAATCTGTAAAAATAATGGAAATTACACTTATAAAGGTACCGCACGGAATACGTTCAAGAAAAAGTATGCATAAAAATTGAACGTTAGTCAAACTTTTTGGAAACATTTACCTGAAATTGTGGCAAGACAACTTAAAGAGAGGCTCGTAGGGGGGCGGCGATCATCAGTGGCTGTAAAATCTGTAAAAATAATGGAAATTACACTTATAAAGGTACCGCACGGAATACGTTCAATCGGCTGAAGAGGACCCTAGTTGGTCCTAAAACGGCCTGAGGTAGAGGGGTTTTAGTCGGTAGGTCCGAGGACTTCTTCCTCGGGAATCCGACACTACCCAGTCGTACGGACGGCTGGGTGTCTTCTGAAGATTTCCCCTCTTCCACTAAAACATAAAAAAAAAAAAATACGTTCAAGAAAAAGTATGCATAAAAATTGAACGTTAGTCAAACTTTTTGGAAACATAAATTATCTATGCGCTATAATTAGTGGGGAATTCCACTGGTAGTTGCAACCGCCGTCGCATCATCTGTTGTCGTTTCACTAAAATGTTTGTCGCCTAGTATGTCGGTAATGCCAATTTTGGTAATTTGAAACATTTAAAGACTTACGTGGGGTAAACTTAGGTGTCGCTGACGCTCGACATTTCATACCCTGCTATGAAATCGGCATTACCGACATATATTTTAGTGAAACGACAACAGATGACGCGACGACGATTGCGATTACCGGCGGAATTCCCCACTAGTTATAGCGTATTCTGAACAGGGTACAGGTTTGCTTACCCCACCTATTTTCCCGCCAAACGATAATAACCGCGAATTATTTATTGATAACTCCATTATCTGCCTATCGGCACTACAACAGGCTACATTTTATCGTTTACGTTTGTAGCATAAACACGCTCCTCTATTGTGTAAATAAAAAAAAATACAATTTGTGTTTTGTACTATTATTTTCTTTTGTGAAGATAGAAAGTGAAAATGTCGATTGAAGGTAAGTGCAAATAACAAGAATTACTTTATCAACAAAAAAGTCATGAATCTAATTTAGTCATAAATACTGTAGATACTGAAGGGGAATCCTTAGAGTCAATGACTGCAATTCAGTTGAGTGATGTATTGACTTCTCAAAAAGAGCTTTATTGTGTAAGTTGCTTTGAATTCTTGTGGCCACCAGTTATGTGGTGTGAAGAAGGAAATGTATGTGGAAACTGTTGGGATGCCGATTCGGATAGATTTATTCGTAATACAGTTCTAGAAAAGATATTAGAAAAACTGAGCATTCAGTGCATGAACTTCGCAAATGGTTGTAAAGTACGAAGCAACTACAAGGAAATGGCAGAACACAATAAGAAGTGTACATATCGAAGATTGTGTTGTCCCATAGATTCCATTGATTGTTGTTCATGGCTGGGATATAATAAAGAACTTATAGATCATTTCATTCGAGAACATCCTCAAAAAACTATAAAATCAGAAAACAATTCTGTTTTATTAAATTTCGATATACAAAAAGATGTAAAACAAATCAAATTAATAGTGCTACCTGGCAAAAATTTCTTATCGCTAACAAATACTGACACAATTAATCAAACACTTTCAATAACTGTTTTCTTTATTGATGGCGACTCTAAATCAAAAGCTACTGAATACCAATTTATTGTCCAACGAAGTACTTTTGACAATGATTCTGTTAGTTATGAAACAAATAAATTTGACATTGTAAATATTAATAACTACAAGGAATATTACAATGATGGGCTAAAAATAGATATAGCTCCACTGAAAAAGTTTTCAATTGGGGGTTTTTACAGTTGTACTTTAAAAATAATGTCTGCTTTGAGTGAAAACAAAACAAATGAAGAATTGTTACAAAACTTTGAATGTCCAGTATGTAGAAATTACATGAAGAACCAAATATATCAATGTCTTGCTGGCCATAGTATGTGTGGAGATTGTAGATTCAAGGTAGAAGATTGTCCTTCTTGTAGATCAGGTTTTGGAGACACGAGAAATTATGCTTTAGAAAATATCAGCAATAGTATTTATTTCCCATGTTCCTATCTCGATCGTGGATGTGAAGAAATTTTTCTTGGAGAGGATACTATTAAACACGAAGGAGATTGTAGATTTAGACCATACGTTTGCCCATTTTGGAGAACTTATTGCAACTGGACTGGTTCACTCACAGAATTATCTGAGCATTTAAAGGTACAAATAAAACAAATATTTTTTTGAAGTGAGTACTTGTTATGCGACAACGGATCGCCAACGCTTTTTATTATAAACCGACTTCAGAAAAGGAGAAGGCTTTCAATTCGATTATATGTTTGTTACGCGATTACTTAGACAATTATGAATTGATTTTGATGATTCTTTTTTGTTTGGTAGGTCATACTTCAGAGGTGGTCCCAGATAAATTTTACCGAAATTGATTCAGTGCTTTTTGAAAACAACAACAAAAACAAAAAATATGTACTCACTAAAAGTTGAAAGTTCATTTATAGAAAGAAAAATAATAAAAACCTACTTCAAGACTATACCTACTTGAACAAACTTTTTTTTGGAGTCGGTGCCAGCCAAAACGGAAATAACCTTAATAGATACCTATTTGATTCACCAATTAATATATGAATGCGAAAGTACAGATCAGATAAAAGAAATTGGACGAAAAGTTTGTTGCAAAAGCAGAATTAAAATGCCCTTGACTGGCACCGACTCCAAAAATAACTATACAAAAGTATAGATATAAATGCATTTAACGCCAGAAAAGTGTACCCCTTTTCACTTTGAATTGCCAAAAATCCCTTTAGGTGTCATAGTTACAATAACAAATGGTTTCATGAAAATTTGAAGTCAATCGAAGGGGTTTTGCTTTTGGAACTGAAGCCTTGTATTTTTTATCAATATATAGGTATAAATATTTAAAAACGTCTCCCTACATTCAAACCTTTAGTTGTGCTCTCCAGTTAGTACAAAAATTGTTGCAGTGATTTTTTGTCTTGTGCCCCTTCTCTAAAGATCTGCCTACCATAGGAGATTATGATTTTTTTTTAATTTATCTTTTTATATTTATCTTGACATGACAACATCCTTTCTAATTTTAAAAATATGTTACTTTATCTTTCAGGAATTTCATATGGATAGTACATACATCATAAATAAAAAAATGACAAAAACNTCTCGCAGAAAGACTGGGATCTCTGAAATATGTTGAACTTAGAAAATTTTAACCATGTCTATTCAGAGAATGGAGTCTCTCGTTCAGAGACTGGATACGAAATGAGGATCTCTCTATGAGCAACGCGAGTCTCTCGTTCAGAGACGATAAACAGTTTTTTTGACAGTCTCTCTCAGCGACACAAGAGAGAATTGATGAGAGACGGAGACTCGAGTCTCGCTTTCAGAGACTCTGAGAGACTGAACATTTTTATCTCGGGGAAAATACTATGGACGTGAAGATCAGGATATACAAGCAGAAGTTGTTAGATTTTCCTGTTTGTGCACACAATTCAAGACATACGTATGTATAGAATGAAGAATTTAAATTGTATTATAACGATATACTCACAAAGGTATGTTGTTACATGTGACGTCATTTCTATTCGGGAACAGGGCTTAGTAAGCTTGAAATTTTAGGGGCAATAACCTTTTTCTCGTGGTTAAAAAGGCATAAGCTTACTAAAAGCTCAAGTAATAGGTCAAAACAGAATCTTATAAAATTTATTTACTTTCAGTAACTTCGCTTTGTATGTCGTCCCGAAGTGACGTCATGCGCGTGCGAAACCGATTTCGGTCGACGGAGTCAGACACCACTATATGAAAATTATGAGTACTGCAATTTTGAAATACAATAGACGGTAGGCAGATCCCATGTACTTTCCTTCCATTTATTATAATACGATGGGCTTTGTTACAGTTTCGTGCCAATATAAGTCTTACATGGTTAATCTTTTCGATTTATGAGATACACACTTATAATTATGTATCAGAAAGATAAATGGCTCGTGACTCACCCAAAAAAAATGCTTATATACTGTAGTTTAGCAATAAGCAGACGCCTTCTGGGCCGCATTTAGAAGTTTAAGTTTACTTAGGCAATTTTTCTTGTGTAAACTCTTTGGTTACAACATCCGTTCGCGAAGCGGCTTTCGTTGCAAATATCAAGCAACTGGGCCACTTAATTTAACGCTGGTTTGAAAGCTAAAGGCCAAATGTTTAGAACTGAACAAATACACCCGAACTATGCACGGCGAATTTTTAGACGAATTTCCTTCTTTTCCTTTGCCTGGACATCGTTCGTTTCTACATTACACGCACACCATTACAGTGAGTACACCTACGTAAACGACTCGATATACGTGTATGTGTGTGTGTATGTTTATTGTTCCAGCAAGTTACTGTAAGCGAACCCAAAGGCCGCTTGCTGTTTGTATAAAACACCCGAAATAGAAACCGAGAGCGATCACGTTGTTAATGCTAATGTATCTTTAGTGCGCACACACGGGACGAACTGGATTGATTTTAAAGTTCCATTTCTTAAAAAGAAAAGTTCATGTTGAACGGGAATTAAAGCTTTGTATTAGGAAACGAGCAGATTCATGGTCCCAAGAAAAAAACCCACTAGGTTGAACTCACATTTGTATTTCTTCCTATTATGAGCCAATCTTCGCATTTCTCATAAACTACAGCAACCTGTATCTCTATACAAGATGTAACAGAAATAACTGCCGAGCCTTAGAGGGTGTAAACAAGATGCAATAAACAATTGCATGGTATGTTCAGCAGCTTAAGAATTTCAAGAAAATTACACCCATTTACAATCCGGAATTGGCAGCATAGGTGTCTACCGAATAGTCAGATAAAAACGTTGCAACTGCATGGTTGGAGAATGTAAACATTACGGTAAAGGTCTCGATTATCCCCCACCCCCGAAGAGGGGATTGAAAGAGGAGGTCTTCCTGAGTAAACCACCATAAAAAGTTCGCGACGGTCACACCCCCATAAAAACTTATGGGGTTGCAAAGTTCTGTAATTTTCCAATTTTCATACACTATAAAGTCTAATAAAAGTTAATAGATTACTTATTATTACTAATTATCCAACATTTATAATATTGATAGTTAGTAAAGAGCCAATAAAAACCAATTATAACACAGGTCTGCGAAATTTTTTTTTTGAAAAGTCTTTTTCTTAAATTGTTAATATTTGTCGTAATGTTTTCTATGTTTTTAATGATGCTCTTTTCGATGGTGTTGGTTAAAAATACCTCCGACAATATTAAAGCATGGAAAAATCGAAAATAAGCAAAAAAAAAGCGTGATTTTTGAATTGACTTTTTTCTTAAAAGTATTTTTTGTGTCCTTACGATTTTTTTATATGCTTCAAACCTATATAAATCATGACTTCGATATCTAAACATGAAATAATCACCGTTGGTCAAGTCGAAATGCCTTTACAAATTGTTTGATCAAACTAAGTTTAATGTAAACTGGTGGAAGCAATACTTTCTTCTTTCAAAGTCGTATTGATGACATTTTTCACTCCGAGATCCAATTGCATTCTAATTTGGACAGAAATACCTAATAACAATGATTTTGTCTTCTCTGTCTTAACACTTTAACACATAACCGGCATATTTTATCGTAACCCAGTGTTTATCTTGGTGACAACTTCATTCTGGAAGTAAGCTTAATAAGCATTTTTTACAAAGTCTGTTATATTCAATCTTTGCTTAACTATTGTATATTGTCCGCAAATGTAAAAAAAATACATTTGAATTGTTTTAACAGAAGCCATAATTAAAGATAAATGAAACACAATCTTTTATTACACGTTAATATTATATCTCTCTCAATAATGGCCTGCTATAAACTNAAAATAATAAATAAATCCCCATAACTTTTCATGGTGGTGAGACCGCCGCAAAGTTTTTATGGTACAGTGGTGGGGCAGACCTCCTCTTTCAGACCCCCTGCCCCGCCCCTTTGGGGGGATAATCTAGACATTTACCCAAACTTGTACAGCACCATTGAGGTATTGCTAAGGCGCGTTACTTTCTTTGTGCAGGTGGTCGTAATAATACAAAAAAAAATCAAATATGTCTCCAAAAATTTCCCACCTCACCAAAAACAATTCTTGCAATCGCGAAGTATGTACGACATGCAAATTTGCGTCTCACTAACAAAATGATGTATGTGAAACTTCAAAATTCCGTCCCGTGTGAAGCAAATTTGTCTGTGAACACAACCAAATGTGTTATGGTCAACACTGAGGTTTATTTTTGTATGAATTCGCTTGCTTTATTTAGATTTAGAAGATGGACGATAAACGTACAGTAATGAAGTTCATTTTAGTCATGTAAACAATTTTTTTAATTACCTACAACGCTGGGCACTTACCAGGTAATGAAAGCGTTTACTCGGTGGTCATAAAATTTTTAAAATAAATTAATAATAATAAACATTTCGTTTTTACGGGGTTGTAAAACGAGGAGAACGTGTTTCCCTAAGCCGATTGATAAGACATCCGAGAAATTAGCGGTACTGAACTACGGTTGTTGTAAGTAAGTAATAAATGTGGTGAATGACGTGACCCAGATAACATCATTGCATTTAACTTATGACTAGTCCGTTGGTCTATAATCACCACGCTGATAAATAATGTTTAACGGTTTTTCGTTTTTAAAGCTCGTTTAGAGCCTCTATTTTAATTAATTCATTGTAAGAGAACCGATTTTATCGCATGAATGACATGAAGTATCACAAAATCAATTAATTACAGGAATAACGTTCTGAAACTAAAAGACAGCGTCAACTCTGTCACACATTTATCATTATTGTAGATACAATGGTTTAAAAGGGTAAAAATAATCAATTTCTCATGTAATAACCTAACCTAACCTTGTAATAACTTGCTTGATAGTTATTAGGGTAGGTCCATAGTTTCGAATAAAAGAAAATATGGTAAAAATTTAGGTTGTTATTTCAGACGTTAAAGTAATTTGTAGCTATAAAATCAACGTCTTCTTCTTAGCTAGTTTACAACATCTCAATTACACCAGTACCTACACGAATTAATACCCTACATTCCAAATTCACTCAAAGAGCTATCGATAACACTATTGCCAACCTACTACAGGAAAAAATCCCACGCGCAGGTCCAAAAAATCCCATATTTTCTCTAAAAATCCCTCCACGCGCAGGTCCAAAAAGTCCCCGCGAAAATAAGGAAAATCCCTTTATCCCATGAGAACGTCGAAAATCCCTCGAATCGGGATAAATCCCTCGAAGTGGCAACACTGATCGATAACAATAACCCTATATCAATAAGTACCCTAACCTACATTACTCAATGAATAACACGAAAACCAAAAAACAAGATCCCTTTCCCTACCGCCAAACTTCTGGAAATCACTCCAGATCTCCTTGAAGAATACACCACATATAAAAACCACCACCTTGGGAGTCCCACACTACCCAGTCATACAGGCGGTCGGGTGTCTTTTGAAGATTTCCCCTCTACCACATAATCCGAAAATGTAGCATCGTGCTACAGATGGCGCTTACCGCGCCATTTGTAGTATTTTCTAAAACTTCAGCTGGTTGGTAAAATCAAGGAGAGATAGGGTTAGAGCCGTTCAAGTTCGCGAAAAAGGTGCGCCTCCTTTCAGCCAACTATCAGCGAGCCGTCGTCGTCATAACACAGTTATTTTAGTTTCATTTCCTTGGCAAACGTTCAGCTCCGCCGAAGTTAAATTATTATGATTTACATTTCAATCTACCGCATTTCGATATGATATGATTGCCTAGCAGCCAATAACTTCTGAACGTGAGCCAACTCGAGATAGACACCTCCGAACGCTTTAATTTAGACACGGAACTATCGACATAGTTAGAGGCATATTATAGACGGGGGTTGTTGGCGATGGGAGAGGGGGTGGTCGACATGGCAGAAGGGTTGCAACAATGAACTCTCGTATCCAGTTTGGATAATTGAAAATATGACGAAGGAAAATTCTCGACAATGATTCACAGTATACGAGGGTGGATTGATAAGTTTCCGGCCTGACCAAGAAAAACAAGGTTTTTAAAAATTTTTTTTTTTTATTTCTCAACATAATCTCCTCCAAGGCTGATACATTTCTCATAGCGGTGTTCCAGTCTATTAATGCCATCTCTATAGACTGATTCGTCAAGCTCCTCAAAATAACCATTTACAGCTTCGATTACTTCTTCATTGTCCGCAAATCTCTTACCGCCAAGCCATTTTTTGAGATTAGGGAACAGAAAATAGTCACTCGGGGCTAGGTCTGGAGAGTAAGGAGGGTGCGGCATCAATTCAAACTTTAGATCGTTGATTTTAGCCGTCGCAACGATTGACGTGTGCGCTGGTGCGTTATCGTGATGAAACAAGATTTTTTTCTTCGCCAGATGAGGTCGTTTAATTTTCACCTCGTGGCTCAAACGTTGCAATAAGTCTGCGTAGTATTGACCAGTGATAGTATTACCCTTTGCAAGGTAATCAATGTATATAATACCTCTTGCATCCCAAAAAACAGTAGCCATAACCTTGTTCGCCGAAAAAATTGTTTTTGCCTTCTTTGGAGTTGGTTCCCCTGGTCCAATCCACTGTTTAGACTGTTCTTTGGTTTCAGGAGTGTAGTGAGTGGTGGACCCACGTTTCGTCAACGGTTACGAATCGACGCAAAAATTCGCTTGGATTACGCTTATACAATGACAAATTTGCGGTAGAAATGTTTTTTCGAATCAATTTTTGGTCGACTGTTAGCAAACGCGGCACCCATCTTGCACAGAGCTTTTCCATATGCAAATGTTGGTGCAAAATATGTTGCACACGTTCATATGACATCTTACAGGTCTCAGCTATCTCACGCACTTTCAATCTGCGGTCTCCCAGCACTATTTGATGAATTTTTTCGATCATATCTGGAGTTGTGACCTCAACGGGGCGTCCCGAGCGAGGCCCATCAGAGGTGCTCACACGACCCTTTTTAAACTCGGAAACCCACTGCTTAACGGTTGAATATGACGGGGAGGATGTCCCCAGTGTTGAGTCCATCTCTTTTTTAATTTCCTTCGGCGTTAACCCCTTCAAATAAAAGTATTTGATGACAGCACGATTTTCCTGCTTTTCCATTTTTACGAAAACCACAGAGGCGTCTTGTTCAGCGTGCTGTCAAACCTACACTAGCAAGGAGATCGGGCTGAAACTATAGCTACAAGCTATCCAAGGATGGTACTATAGAATGTCACCTCAAGGTAGGTCTAGTGGCGTCATCTCTTGGTTAGGCCGGAAACTTATCAATCCACCCTCGTAGTATTATTTATTTATTGTTTCATTCTTTTGTTATCAACCAGTCCTGACGATTGATCTATTTTCAATATACCTACCCTAGACAAAAATTGTCAGTCTCTCTCCAGTCTTTTTCAGCGTCACTGAGAGCGTCTCTCACAGTCTTTCACAGTCTCTCAGTTATTGCCTAGGTGTTTTTACGGACCTCTCACAGTCTTTGTATGAGAGACTCGAACGATAAAATTGTTAATTCAGAGATTCGAGTCTCTCACAGAGAGACTGAATGCATAAAACTAAACAGTCGAGAGACTGGAGTCTCTCGTAGAAAGACTGGGATCTCTGAAATATGTTGAACTTAAAAATTTTTAAACATGTCTATCGAGACACCACTTATTGAGAGATTCGAGTCTCTCTTTCAGAGACTGGATACAAAGTGAGGATCTCTCTATGAGCGACTCGAGTCTCTCATGTTCAGAGACGCTAAACAGTTTTTTTGACAGTCTCTCTCAGCGACATCAGAGAGACTCGATGTGAGGCGGAGATTCGAGTTTCGCTTTCAGAGACTGAGAGACTGAACATTTTTATCTCGGATAACAAAACGTTGGATGTAACAAGCAAAGTAAGCTTTGATTTAATACTCAGAATTTTAAAAAATCCCCAAACTATTTGGTTAAATCTTTAAACTTTACGTTTATTATTGGGGTAGCAAATTATATGTCTGAAATAAATAAAGAGGTAGGTATTTTGTAAACTAAAAAGAAAAAATTCTGATTAACAAAAAGTTCAAATTTCTTTCAATTTTGACGGTCCACAACCGAACACCATATCGTTTGTTACACAATTTTCTTTTATTGATGGATTTATTGGTTTTGAAACACGACCACTTTCGTTTAATGACGTCTACGAATTATCGAATTCAAGACGGAATCTAAAATTAGATCTTCTACAATCGAATTTTATAAGCATTAACCGGAAAGTATTTATTGCACTGCCAGTGTATTAGTTGGGCCTCTATTTTTAGTCAAGTGTTGGCTTAATGGGCCAGAATCGATCAAAAATACCTGAAGTACATGCTGCCACTGTATCGTATCATTGAAGATGAAAGGTTTCAAATTGGTTATGGTAACCATGCAGTATTTTAAGAGACCAATAATATTCAGTCGGATGCTAAAATGTTTATGATGCAAACAGATCGAAATAAACTATTCTCGGAATTTCCGATGTTTACGTTAAAGGTAACTATAAAAGATACACGAACGATTTCAAATACAGTATTTTATACATCCACATGCATTACACCGAAAAATATATAATGAATGAAAAATGTAAAAAATATATATTTATTACCGTCTTACCCAAATTGGCCTTCCCCTAATAGTTCTGGGGGAACGCCAATTTAAGTAATTGAGGTTATAAGCAGGATGTGTGCAAATACTTATTATCGAAGACGCGATAAACACGATTGAAGACAGGACAACATGAGGGATAGAGACACAGGGGCAAAAGATTAGTATGCTTAGATTTGAAGATAATATAGCGGTATAAGCATTTATAATAAGGAGGAGTTAGAGATAACCTCGAATAAAATGGAAGCGATAATGACAAAACAGTATTGCATGAAAATAAATAAAAGTAAACCAAAAATACTGGTATGCAGGGGAAGAAAAAGTATGAAAAGAGCGAATGTAA